TAAGAGAAAGTTCTGCTTTGTAGAAATATCATATGCTTCAACACCTTTAAACCACAAATCTTGCAGCTCTTCTATCAATGGTTGAAGAAATATATCCAGATTTCTCTTAGGATGATTTGGACCAGGGACTAAAATGGTTAGAAACATAAATTTCTGCTTCATACACATCTCAGGTGGCAGATTATACGGAGTCAAGATAACAGGCCATAATGAATAATTATGTCCTGACATACCAAATGGATTAAAACCGTCTGTACATAACCCAAGGTAAACATTTCTTGGTTTAGATGCAAAATCAGGGAATACCTTGTGAAAATGCTTCCATGCTTCTCCATCTGATGGATGACACATTTCTCCATCACTCGCTAAGTGCTCTGCATGCCATCTCATATATTTTGCAGTATTATCAGACTGATATAATCTCTTCAATCTATCAGCTACCGGCAAATAAAACATTTGGCGGTATGCAACTTTTTTCTGCCCAGTCTTTTGAGTAGGACGAAATCTATCCTTTTTACAGAACAAACAACTTTCTTCCTTTTCAGCATCTTTCCAAAAAATCATACAATTATCTTGACAGACATCAATCTTCTGGTAAGGTAAACCCAATGATCGCATAAGCTTCTTGATCTCATAGTACGACTTCGGTGAATTGTTACCTTCTGGCAAATATTCTTGCATTATCTGAGCTATCGAGTCCATACAATTCTGAGGCAAATTATAATCTGTCTTCAAACTCATAAGCTGAGCTGCTAAGGAAAGTTTCGAAAGACCTTCTTTACATCCATGATAAATTGGTTGTTTTACAGCATCCAAAGTATCGTAAAACTTTTTGGCCTCAGGATTAGGTTCTTCTTCCATTATCTGCTCAAAATCTGCCTCTGTATTACCAAATGCATCTGAAACCATTGCCACATAAGGATTCATTGGCTCTGTATGAGACTCAGACCTCAAAGCAGCTTCTTCTGAATCATTGTTTAACATACTGTAATCTTCTCCATGTGAAGTCCAAATCCAATAATTAAGCATGAAACCTTTATTATATAAATGTGTTGACATGGTAGCTTCTTTCAATAGCTTTCCTCCATTCTCACACTTAACACATGGACAAAAAAGCTTTCCACTCTCCAGAAATAAAGGTTGACTTTTTGCAAACTCGATAAAAGATTTCACACCTTGGCAATAGGTTTCCGAAACTTGATTGGTTGTATGATCGATTCTCTCATACATCCATTGCCTTGTAGCATATACATCACCACTTGAAGACATTTAGATACCTGAAATAATTTTTGAGAAAAATCAAGTTCATACAAACAAATGGAACATAAGAAGAAACATACGTTAATGTATAGATTTCTAACCTTGTCCTTCCTCTTTTGTAACTCCAGAAGTTATCGGTAATAGGCAAGACACTCTGTGTGGTAAGCTGCAGCTAGATGATCTTGACTAGATCCTTAATCAATTCCTTTAAAAAACAATAGAGACAAGGATTTCGAAAATTGGTCAAATTCTGAAATTTCAAAGGACCAAAGATTTTAGATTTAGCTGATCTATACTAGGGTATTAATTGGTGTGAATCGCAAGTTTTAAAAGGATAATTGTGTGTGTGAGGCACGGTGTTTGATAGGAATAAAAACACAATCAGAAAAAGGAATTTTGTTGAAGCATGATGTTTCAAAGGTTTACCTAATGCGATTCTATAATCTGAGGTTCTCTCCACTGTTGGAGCTTCAGAAGTAAGGTGGTGTCAAATTTGACGAAGGTCAAATCCGGGTTATTTGATGAAATCTAAACCAAAATCAACTGCATATAAAAAACAAATTCAAACAAGGAATTTCAGGAAAAACGAATACAGCTAAAAAAAAGAAGAAGAATGCAGCTACCAAGGTGAAGCTGATCACAAATTCTTCAGGTCATAAGCTGTTTCACGCAACAGAAATAAGATCATCAATTCTCTTTCGATGGTAAAAAAATAATAATTAAATGAGTCTACAGTATTGATTTTGGGTCGTGAATATTGGTTTAATACTGGGTTTCGGTTTAATTTTAGTGTGTTGCTTACACAATTTAAATCAATTTTGGTTTAAGTGTTTTGATTTGGTTTAGCTTGTGAACTAAGAGTAACGTACTTGTCTAGGATGAGAACCCACATCTGACCACAGGTCCCGCGCAAGGCGTTGAAGGATACGCACCACCACATATGAATCAACAGAGATCAATGTCCAGCAACAGATAAAACTAAGTGTCATCTTCTGCGGTTTATCAAGCTTTCCGTGGTGCACTTGGTATCTTTCAAGCCATTGATGATGGCATTGCTGGTCAGTCTAAGCGCTAGAAGAAAATCTCAGTTGATAAGGGAGTATGCGGCTAATAATTTGGTCAACACGTAAGAACAGTTTTACTTAGTTCTCGCAGGTACTGATTTTTTGTGTGCGGCTTATGGTATCTTATAAGAGCAACTCTTTCGGATGTAAGTTTGATTAATCTATCCAAATATATCATTATCGTCACAATATTATCATTCTCCCAACAAAATAAATCTTTGTTGATGAAAGGATTGAATGAATATGCTATATCACACGTTCTTTTCCTTTGTTAATTAAGTAAAGGATTGAATAGATCTTCCTTGATTGCTGGAACTAACATGAATGAGTTTTACTTTTTTTAGCTTACTCTCATCTATATAAATAGACTTTAGATTTAGATATTTATTTCACTTTATTTGTTTCTTTCATTTTATTCTCTCAGTTTTTCTTTCTAAATTACTTTGCACATATTCTTCTCCATTACCTCTTCAAATCCCAAAACTTGTAAGTTTTTATTTATGTCATGTATTGAATATATGTTTATGTTTGATTAATTTCTAAATTTCAGGTTGTAGAATGTGTTAGATTAGATGGTTATATTTTTTATTAAACGGTATGTATGTGTTTATATGTTAAAAAAATCAGTTTCTTTTTATAATTGAAAACCTTTTTTTTATCTGTAATCCATTTTTAATATTTTTATAATAATAAATATTTATTTAAAAATGTTTTAAGAAAATTATAATCTTGTTCTTTAAGTTATAATTGATGTAAATGGTTTTATATTTGATTTATAATTTTTTTGTTCATGTTTATAGGAAATAATCAGAACTGATCGAAATGCAAAATGATCAAAAAGCAGAAGAAATACAAGTTATTCAAGAGATAAAGCAAAAGAAAAAAATTGATTTTAGATTTGATTTTACTTTTTATTTATATATACAATATTATAATAAAAAAGTTGGCTAAGAGGATACTTATAATTTATTTTTCTTTCTATTTATTTTTTTGTTTCATTTATAATTTCGAATTCTTGCTATATAATGAGAATTCATTCACATATGATATAAACGTTTTTTATTTAAAAATAAGATTTAATTAGTTTTAACTTAACCAATCAAAATGTTTTGTTTATTTTAGGAAATTTGTCATTTCACATTTATGAGGTGCATTGTTTTGCACTAACTTTTCTAGGTGTTGACACATATAATTGTTTTAGTAAACATGCTTCTCAAATAATAGTTAGAATTTCCATAGTTACATTGAAAACAAATTTTCAGGATAAATATAACAGGGAAGCTAAAAAATTTTCACCTTTAACATTTTTCATTTGTGTTTTCCTATTTTGCCTTTTAGAAAGGTCTTAAATGTTTTTTTTCTGTTAATGTTTCGTGATTTTTTAGGAAAGTCTTACAAATAGTAGAATTTAACAACGTTTCCTACGATTTAGGAAAAGCTTTCCTAATTTTTTTTAAAAAATTCTGAATTATTGAAGGGCTTCATGAATTGTGAAAGAGTTTCCTGAATTATGGAAATGCTTCCTCGAAGGACTTCCTCAATTTGAGTTGTATAAATTAACAAAAAAATAAAATCAGTTATACGATTTACGAAAGCATTCCTAAATACATGAAATGACTTCCTTATTTATACATTTTATGAAAGTTTTCTTAGAAGTTTAAAATATCTTTCTAAATTTTACTCTCATCTTTTTCCTCACATCTGCGACATCAAAACTCTAATTTTCGCCGATTTCCTTTTTGTCAGCATTGTTTTTGTTTTACCTCAGGTTTCTTGAGCTTTTCACCTAATTATATCAGATATATCTTCCATTATATGATTTTGAGCTTTGAATCCTGAAATCACTTTCCGCCACAAAGATCTAAGATTCACAATCATAAATCAAAATCAAACGAGAAGAGCGATCTTAAATAAAACAAAGGTTCGAATTTTAGATCAGCCTTGGCCATTGATACATTTGTTTGTATATTATTTTTCTTCTTCTTTTATTGACTAATGTTTTTATCTAACTAAGGTTAATATGGTCAAATCTTTAGTGAAATATTATGGAAGGAATTGTTTAAAATATTAGTGTATATTAAGAACAAAAACTTAGATTAAGTGCATCTAAGGAAATTTCTCTATTTTAATATAATTTATGTTTTTATGTTAAAAATATTTATGGAAATGAAAATCCTAAAGACTTTGATGGCATCCATTGGTTTAAACTTTATCGTTAAATGTAAGGAAAATTTATAAGAAAAAGAATGATTATTTCTTTGTAACAATAGAAATTAAAAAATGTAAACAGAATATGTGATAAGGCTTAGAGAGAATCAGATTCAACTATAAACATCAAGATTAGCTTCCAAAATTATAAAGATTCTTTCACCTTATGAGGCTGACTCGGAGTGGACTGGATTCGTGTCGCAAAGGCTGTGACTTTGAGCTTTAGTCCGAAAAACTCATAGATACAGAAAGAGAGAGATATGTGCGTGGAAATGGCGCAACTATAAGAGAAACTGAAATGAAACTCCTTTTCTTCCTCAACCTTATTCTCACTCTAATTGGTTTGTCACTTTTGTTCCTGAACAACTCACAGAGTTTGTGTGTTTTTTATTCCTTTGTCTTTCTGGGTTTCTCAGAAATTCAATCTCTTATTGAAAAATCTTCGGTGTCACTGATTCTGAACAGAACATGGAGGGTAAAGATTTGGAATTTGCAGTTAATGGAGAGAGATTCAAAATCAACTCTGCTGATCCTTCTACTACTTTACTCGAGTTCTTGCGATTCAACACTCCTTTCAAGAGTGTCAAGCTCGGTTGTGGCGAAGGCAATCTCTCTCTCCCTCTCTCCTCTCTTTTGATGTTTACTGTTATAAAAGGCGTTACCTTTATGCTAAGAAACAATCTTTACTTGTGTAGCTGTGATATTATGCAATCCTTTATAACTAGAATTAGTGAAACTGAGGAAACAGAGAAACTCAATTTTGTGAAATCAAGTTTGCATCTTTCAGATAGATTTAATTTCTTGACTTAGAAATGTGTTACCTTTTATGTCAAGAAACAATCTTTATAAGTGCAGTTGTCATGTTCTTCTTTCTTTTTAACTAGAATTAGGGAAATTGAGAAAGAGAGAATCCCAATTTTTGTGAAATCCAAATCCGAATTTTGCATCTTTCAGATAGATTTAATTCGTGACTTAGAACTGTGTTACATTTATGTCAAGAAACAAACTATATATGTGTAGTTGTTATGTTATGGTTTCCTTTTAACTAGAACTAGTGAAGTTTTTGGAACAGAGAAACCCCATTTTGTGAAATCCAACAAATCTGAAAGTTTGCATCTCTCAGATAGATTTTAAAGATCTTGACTTAGAAATCTGTTTGTAATTTAGTGCAGGAGGGTGTGGTGCTTGTCTTGTAGTGTTATCAAAATACAATCCAGAGTTAGTGCAAGTGGAGGAATGTAGTATAAACTCTTGTCTCACACTTCTCTGTAGTATCAATGGATGTTCCATCACAACATCTGAAGGTCTTGGCAATACAAAGAAGGGATTCCACCCGATTCAGAAACGACTCGCCGGGTTTCACGCCTCTCAGTGCGGTTTCTGCACACCAGGAATGTGCATTTCTCTCTACTCAGCACTTGCAAATGCTCATCATAGCAACAGCTCAGGCCTCACGGCTTCTGAAGCTGAGAAATCCGTGGCTGGAAACCTTTGTCGATGCACCGGTTTATCGTCCCATTGTCGATGCCTGTAAGAGTTTTGCTTCTGATGTTGATATTGAGGACTTGGGGTTTAACTCCTTTTGGAGAAAAGGAGAAAGCAAAGAGGTTATGTTGAAGAGTTTGCCTCCTTACAATCCAAAAGACCATCTTGTGACCACATTCCCTGAGTTCTTGAAGAAGAAGAAGAAGGTTGATAATGGTTTGGATCATTCGAGGTATCATTGGACTACTCCTCTAAGTGTAGTTGAGCTTTATAAAGTAATGGAATTTGCTAATTCTGGAGACTCGTTGAAGCTTGTTGTTGGGAACACGGGGACAGGTTATTACAGAGACGTGGACCAGTTCGATAGATATGTCGATATCAGCCATATTCCGGAGATGTCGAAGATCCAGAAAGATGAGAAAGGAATCGAAATCGGAGCAGCTGTAACCATATCTAAAGCTATCGATGCTTTGAACGAGGAGAGCAAATCTTGCTACGTTTTCAAGAAAATGGCGACTCGTATGGAGAAAATCGGCAACCATTCTATCAGGAACTCAGGGAGTATCGGCGGTAATCTAGTCATGGCACAGAGCAAGAAGTTTCCTTCTGATATCACCACGCTTTTACTCGCTGCAGATGCGTCTGTGTATATGTTAAACGGCGAGAAAACCGAGAAGCTTAAGCTATTAGAGTTTCTTGAATTGCCTCCGATATTAGACTCCAAACGAGTTCTTTTGAAGGTTGAGATTCCATCTTCGACTTCTGATATACTCTTTGAAAGCTACCGAGCTTCACCTCGCTCTATTGGAAACGCATTGCCGTATTTGAGTGCTGCTTTCTTTGCACATGTGTCTCGCCAAGAACCATCAAGAAAAACGGCGTAAAGGTGGATAAATGTTTGTTGGCATTTGGTTCTTATGGCAGCGATCATTCAATCAGGGCGACAGAAGTTGAGAAGTTCCTAACCGGTAAGTTTCTCAGCTACAATGTTCTCTGTGAAGCTGTGTGTTTACTAAGAGGAATCATAGTTCCCGGAGAAGACACTTCGCACCCTGAGTATAGGAAAAGCTTGGCTGTTGGATTTCTTTTCGACTTCTTCTATCCGATAATCGAGAGTAGCAATATAATATGTAGTCTTGATCCTGCGAAATCTCTTCCCTTCCTATCATCTTCACAGCACGTGGTAGAGAGCAATGAGTTTCAGCCTGTTGGTGAAGCGGTTATCAAAGTTGGAGCTGCATTACAGGCTTCTGGTTAGGCTCTTATGCCCTTGTGTTTTTATTATTTTTTGTAACTTGATTTTGGCTTCAAGCCTTCGCTTACATGAGCCTTTTTACTCTCAGGTGAAGCTGTTTTTGTTGATGATATTCCGACTTTACCGGATTGTTTACATGGAGCATTCATCTATAGCACAGAGCCTTTGGCTAAGATAAAAAGCATAAGCTTCAGTGAGGACGTGACTCCTTGTGGAGTTTTCGCTGTTCTCACTTTCAAAGATCTTCCACAAGAGGGACAAAACATTGGTTCCAAGACCATTTTTGGACCAGGACCTTTATTTGCAGATGAACTAACTCGATGTGCTGGTCAAAGAATTGCTCTTGTGGTAACTCAAAATTTCTCTTCTATAAGGTCGTCTTTCTTTGTATAACTAATAAAAAAGTATGCGTCTTTAAAGGTTGCAGACACACAGAAACATGCAGACATGGCAGCAAAACTTGCGGTAATTGAGTATGATACAACGAACTTAGAACTACCGATATTAACCGTCGAAGATGCGGTTAAAAGATCGAGTTTTTTCGATGTTTATCCCATGTTTTACCCAGAACCAGTCGGTGATGTTTTAAAAGGAATGAAAGAAGCTGAGAAAAAAATAATCTTGGCTAAGGTATCACAACTCTGTTTCTTGATCTTTACAACCAAATGTTTGTAGTTAACATCCTTCTCATGTGTGTGTTCTTCAATCCAGTTTAGTCTTGGGTCACAGTACCACTTCTATATGGAGCCACAAACAGCACTTGCCTTGCCAGATGAAGACAACTGTGTGAAAGTGTTCAGTTCATCACAAGCACCTGAGTATGTTCATTCGGTAATCGCTACATGTCTTGGCATTCAAGAGCATAACGTGAGAGTCATCACCAGAAGAGTTGGAGGTGGATTTGGAGGTAAAGCTGTGAAGTCAATGCCTGTAAGTAATCACAAGAATTGGTTTTTCTTTGCTAGTTTCTTCTCTGAAATCAAAATCTTTAGGAGAGTTTTGTTATGTAGATTCTTCACATGTTGTTAATTCAGTGAAGAGTTTTGTTAATTGATTTCTTAGCAGGCAGTTTCTTCCCTGAATAAAGATGTTTAGGAAAGTTTTGTTATATAGAATCAGGTTGCAACCACGAGCACATGCTGTTGCAACCTGAATCAATATAGCAAAACTATCCCAAAGATCTTGTTTCAGAGAAGATTTTTGTTAATTGGTTTCATTGCTAGTTTCTTCTCTAAATCAGGATCTTTAGGATAGTTTTTTGTTGGTTTTTTTTTGCTAGTTTCTTCGCTGAATCAAGATCTGTAAGGAGAGTTTTTGTTTATATGGATTCAGGTTGCAACAGCATGTGCCTTGGCGGCTCACAAACTGCAGCGGGCTGTTAAGATGTATCTGAACCGCAAGACCGATATGATAATGGCTGGAGGAAGGCATCCGATGAAAGTGACTTACAATGTCGGTTTTCGATCAGACGGGAAGCTCACTGCGCTTGAGCTGACAATGCTGATAGATGCAGGGATCGAGCCTGACGTGAGCCCGATCATGCCGCGGAATATAATGGGTCCGTTAAGGAAGTATGACTGGGGAGCCTTGTCGTTTGATGTTAAAGTCTGCAAGACGAATCTCCCGAGCAGAACCGCCATGAGAGCTCCAGGGGAAGTACAAGGCTCTTACATAGCGGAATCCATTATAGAGAATGTAGCTTCTTCTCTTGGAATGGATGTTGATGCAGTGAGAAAGATAAACCTTCATAGTTACAGCAGCCTAAGGAAGTTTTACAAGGGCATTGCTGGTGATCTTGTTGAATATTCTCTGCCTTTACTATGGGACAAACTTGAGATATCTTCAGAATTCAACCAAAGATCTGAGATGGTTAAGAAGTTTAATGTATGCAATGTATGGAGAAAGAGAGGGATTTCTCGAGTACCGATTATCCATCAGGTTATGCAGAGGCCAACACCGGGGAAAGTAAGCATTTTGAGCGATGGTTCTGTTGTGGTTGAGGTTGGAGGGATTGAGATAGGGCAAGGATTGTGGACTAAAGTACAACAGATGGTTGCTTATGGTCTCGGTATGACCAAATGCGAAGGAAGCGAGAAACTGATGGAGAGAATACGAGTTGTTCAGTCTGATACGCTCGGTTTGATCCAAGGAGGTTTCACTGCCGGTAGCACGACGTCGGAGAATAGCTGTGAAGCCGTTAAGCTTTGCTGCATTATCTTGGTGGAGAGGCTGAAACCTTTGATGGAGAAGTCAGGTTCTTTGACTTGGAATATGCTTATTCAACAAGTAAGTAGCCTAGAGATTCTTGATCGTTTATTTAAACAAAGACTCTGTGTGAAGTAACCCGTAAAGTTTGAATTCTTTTTTTATCAGGCTTATGCTCAGTCTGTGAATTTATCAGCGAGTACATTGTATAAGCCAGAGTTTACTTCCATGGAGTACCTCAACTATGGAGTTGGAGTTAGCGAGGCAAGTCACATGGCAAACTATTCTTTGTTTAAATGTGAGAACCATACAATAATATGATTCTATTTGCAGGTGGAGGTGGATCTTTTGACAGGAAGGACAGAGATTTTGAGATCAGATATCATTTATGATTGTGGGAAAAAGTCTTAATCCTGCAGTTGATTTAGGACAGGTTAGCTATAAACTGTTTTAAATACAGATCTTTCTTGTTTTTCTTGTTTTCAAACCAAAAAGAAAAACTGGATGATTTGTGAGAAGGTCGAAGGAGCGTTTGTTCAAGGAATAGGGTTTTTCATGATGGAAGAGTATACAACAAATGAGAAGGGGCTTGTGATGCAACAAGGTACTTGGGACTACAAGATTCCTACAGTCGATACCATCCCTAAGCAGTTCCACGTCGAGATTCTCAACACTGGACATCACAAGAACCGTGTTCTCTCTTCCAAAGGTACACTACGTTTATCTTGCTCCATATTTTGTTTGGGGGTCTCTACTTTCATACTCAACAACTTCTTCACATCTCTGATTCACAGCGTCGGGTGAGCCGCCTTTGCTTCTTGCGGCTTCTGTTCATTGTGCAACGAGATCCGCCATTAGGGAAGCTAGGAAACAGTTCCTTTCATGGAACTGCAATGATGGGAATAGAGATGGGTTTGGTATGGATTTTGAGTTGCCGGTTCCAGCGACTATGCCTGTGGTTAAAGGTCTTTGTGGATTGTATAGCGTAAATAAGTACTTAGAAGCGAAGATCCATGGGAAATAATTGAAGGCAAGTGCTTCTTTCGAGTGTTACATTGTACACAATAATGTTATGATTAAGATTTCAAAGAGGGGAAATAAACATTTAGGGATCTTAGACATAAATAATGTTTTCAGAACCAAATAATTCTGAATTAAATTATGAATAACTTTGTTTGCTGTATATGTACAAGCTGCTAAAAAACACTTAATACTCCTTCAAATAGTCAAATTGCACGTCTGCAAGGTGGAAGAAAGAAACAAAGTTACATCTTGACATCAATTGCTTGGAGATAAGAGTGCAATAATTTTGCGAGGACATCATCTAGGTAATTTTTGAGATATGAGAAATGTAAATCAAGTGATAATCCAATGTAACATACTTTTTCTTTTTCTTTTCGGTAACACACTAACACTGAATCCAAAATTATATTAATGATAACCATGTATTATTACAATGGCGTTATCAACATCGATTAACAGCTTTACAAAAACATTCAGTCCAACACGATTTATAATTCTTTGCGGCTTATATTACTACTAGATAATAGCACAGAGTGCAGAGTAAAATAATAATTATTTATTTAATATGATATAATTTTAAAATCATATAACAAAATACAACTGATTTTATATGAGCTGTTTATAACATTATGCTGTAATATTGACAAAATATATTTTTTTGTTTATGTTATGAATTTTAAAATAATTTAATTCTATTGTAAATTAATTTAAAAATTAAATAGATATGCGCAATCTGGATAGAAATACGAAGTTCCTCTTTATATTTTTCTATAACCCATGATTAATAACATGATCTTAAAATTTTTTAAAAAATAGAGGGAGTATATTTTGATTAAATTATTAAGAATCTAATGCATTATGATAATAAGAAAATTTTCTTACTACTTTCTCTCTTTCATAATATTAGTTTTTTTAGAAAGTTTTGTTTTGATTCACAATATAGTTGTTTTCATATTTTTTCTACTTCCTATGAATACTATGTGACCGATTATATTTTTCATTTTTTCATAATTAGTTGAATTATATTTAATTTATATACTAAATGATTACTTTTTAAAAAGAAAAGTTGCTTTTTAATCTTTGTGCTTTGATACAAAACAACTTATATTTTGGAAATAGAGAGTATTAAAATTGTAAAAATAAAATTTGATTATAAAATTTCATAGTCGATTTTAATATTTCTTATACGAATGGAAATGTATATTTACATTAACCCGCAAAATTTATAGTCATAAGAATATTAACTTTTAAGAAAAGAAAATTACTGTGAAATTTATTTCAAATACTAAATATACATAAGGATTAAATAAAAATAGATTATATTTTTTTCTATAATTTTTAATAAATTATTTAAAAATTGTATATAACTGAGTCAATGCTTATACATTCTTAACTTTTTGATTCAATAAAAATATTTTTAATATCAAAAAGTTTGTTAAAATTATTATATAATATCCTTACAAAAATATTTTAATTTGTTACCAAGTTATTTTGTTGTATAAATTAAAATAAAAATATCTATTAAATTAAGCTTCTTATTTTTTTATCATTTGTGTATTTTTATATTGATTTATGAATCATCTATCTACACATCCTTATTTTTAATTTTAGTCTTTTAAAACATACTTTTATTTATTAATCATTTGAGTAATTTATATTTGTTTTATGAAATTCGAATTATAATATATATATATATATATTACTATACGAATGATGTGATGATTTATTTTTCTATAAAAATAAGAGATAAAATATAGTATTTAAAGAAATAATTAGTATGATATATTTTTGGTAAGAATGAAAAAAGAGAATATTTTGATGAATCATCATCAATATGATTGATATAAACTAATGTATAACCAAATTAATATGAGTGGCATAACCTGTAATTAATCTAGTAACATAAGTCTATTTTTATAATTTTGCTGAAAATGATTCTGGTGATGACACATCAGCAAAATGGCACCACTGTAATATTTTACAAAATTAAGGTTATTCTTTAAAAATGCTTCTCTTTTAATATATAGGAGATTTGTATTCAAGACTACTTTTTATAGAAAATTATAGTTTGGTTCAAAAGAAACATGGAATCTCTCCTTCTAAATCTGCTCGGTTTACAGTTTTTGTTGCTGTAGTTTTTTGATGTTGTTTTAAAGTATTTCTTTGTATATTTATCTCAAACACATTTGTTGATTATATCCAGCTAATAGTTTATCACCAAGAAAATACAACGAAGACTTTCTTATGAAGAAAAAGGAAAAGGCTCAGTTGTATCCCATATCCACCACGAGCTGTCAGAGTCAAAGTTTCACATTTTGATAACTCTAACCTAATTCGCAAGCATTTGCTCACTCTAGTGGAGAAGGTCACTAACCAAAAAATTCAAAGAGTTTGGAACTTTTTTCCATTTCGCCGAATACTGGAAGGAATTATTAAAACCTGCAGAAGCATATTTGGGCCAAAGCTTGTTTCAGTACTAATTTGCTTCTGAGAAAAATCTTCCAAACTATTAGAAAATAGACCATACCATTTTGCTCACTAGAGGGTCACTGTTTAGATGTGGGAGCCTATAATATCCAAATCTTTCCTATCGGCCATTACCTTCTAGATCCAGGTTCAAGGCATCCCGATTCATCTCTGGGCTGAGACCACTCTCCTTTCCATTGAAAACGATATATAACGTTTTGAAACCCTGGAAATTACATATACAATGGCCAGGTTGAGAGTTCAAATCAATGGTCTGCAACCATTAATCAAATCAACTATAGTGGAATTCAAAAATGGTAGTGAAGTTACCGCTGCATTGGTCTATGAAAATCTAAAGAGGCATTGCATCCATTGTGCATGTTTGGAGTGTCTAACTTTAAACCCAAAATTGTTGTGGTTACGCAAGAGAAGCTCAAGAAGGCTAATCCCACCAGTCAAGGGCCAAGATCTGGGTCTGGGTATGAACCTCCTCGCCAGGCTGTGAAAGTTAATGATTACATAAGAAGATACTCCTCTGTGGGATAAGGTCCTAGCCGAGCAGGCTCTACGACATAATATCATTCTTCCTTAGCGTGTGGCCCTCTTTGCGGGAGTTCCTACCTTGAAGAAGTGAGGCATTGTAGCAGCTCATTCCGCTCCAGTTGAACGCTCATACCACTCTAGGTCATTGCCTCCTCCTCGGTTTACAGTTTTTGTTGCTGTAGATTCTTGATGCTGTTTTTAAGGATTTTCTTGTATACTTATCTCAAACACATTTGTGGATTATATTCAGCTAATAGTTCATCACCAAGAAAATAAAACGAAGACTTTCTTATGAAGAAAAAGGAAAAGGCTCAGCTGTATCCCATATCCACCACGAGCTGTCAGAGTCAAAGTTTCACATTTTGATACATCTAACCTAATCGCAAGCACTCGCTCACTCTAGTGGAGAAGGTCACTAACTCAAAAATTCAAAGAGTCTGGAACTTTTTTCCATTCTTCGTCGAGTACTGGAAGGAATTATTAAAACCTGCAGGAGCATGTTTGGGCCAAAGCTTGTTTCAGTACTAATTTGCTTCTGAGAAGAATCTTCCAAACTATTAGAAAATAGACCATACCATTTTGCTCACTAGAGGGTCACTGTTTAGAGGTGGGAGCCTATAATCTCCAAATCTTTCTTATCGGCCATTACCTTCTAGATCCATGTTCAAGGCATCCCGATTCATCTCTGGGCTGAGACCACCCTCCTTTCCATTGAAAACGATATATAACATTTTGAAACCCTGGAAATTACATATACAATGGCCAGGTTGAGAGTTCAAATCAATGGTCTGCAACCATTAATCAAATCAACTATAGTGGAATTCAAAAATGGTGATGAAGTTACCGCTGCATTGGTCTATAAAAATCTAAAGAGGCACTGCATCCATTGTGCATGTTTGGAGTGTCTAACTTTAAACTCAAAATTTGTTGTGGTTACTCAAGAGAAGCTCAAGAAGGCTAATTCCACCAGTCAGGGGCCAAGATCGGGGTCTGGGTATGAACCTCCTCACCAGGCTGTGAAGGTTAATGATTACATAAGAAGATACTCCTCTATGGGATAAGGTCCTAGCCGAGCAGGCTCTACGACATAATATCATTCTTCCTTAGCGTATGGCCCTCATTGCGGGAGTTCCTACCTTGAAGAAGTGAGGCATTCTAGCAGCTCATTCCACTCCAGTTGAATGCTCATACCACTCTAGGTTATTGCCTCCTCCTCGGTTTACAGTTTTTGTTGCTATAGATTTTTGATGCTGTTTTTAAGGATTTCCTTGTATATTTATCTCAAACACATTTGTGGATTTTATCCAGCTGATAGTTCATCACCAAGAAAATACAACGAAGACTTTCTTATGAAGAAAAAGGAAAAGGCTCAGCTGTATCTCATATCCACTATGAGCTGTCAGAGTCAAAGTTTCACATTTTGATAATTCTAACCTAATACACAAGCATTCGCTCACTCTAGTGGAGAAGGTCACTAACCCAAAAATTCAAAGAGTCTGGAACTTTTTTCCATTCTTCGTCGAGTACTGGAAGGAATTATTAAAACCTGCAGGAGCATGTTTGGGCCAAAGCTTGTTTCAGTACTAATCTGCTTCTGAGAAGAATCTTCCAAACTATTAGAAAATAGACCATACCATTTTGCTCACTAGAGGGTCACTGTTTAGAGGTGGGAGCCTATAATATGCAAATCTTTCCTATCGGCCATTACCTTCTAGATCCAGGTTCAAGGCATCCCGATTCATCTCTGGGCTGAGACCACTCTCCTTTCCATTGAAAACGATATATAACGTTTTGAAACCCTGGAAATTACATATACAATGGCCTGGTTGAGAAATCAAATCAATGGTTTGCAACCATTAATCAAATCAACTATAGTGGAATTCAAAAATGGTGATGAAGTTACTGCTGCATTGGTCTATAAAAATCTAAAGAGGCACTGCATCCATTGTGCATGTTTAGAGTGTCTTAACTTTAAACCCAAAATTTGTTGTGGTTAATCAAGAGAAGCTCAAGAAGGCTAATCCCACCAGTCAGGGGCCAAGATCTGGGTCTGGGTATGAACCTCCTCGCCAGGCTGTGAAAGTTAATGATTACATAAGAAGATACTCCTCTGTGGGATAAGGTCCTAGCCGAGCAGGCTCTACGACATAATATCATTCTTCCTTAGTGTGTGGCCCTCTTTGCGGGATTTCCTACCTTGAAGAAGTGAGGCATTCTAGCAGCTCATTCCACTCCAGTTTAATGCTCATACCACTCTAGGTCATTGGCTCCTCTTAGGCCTAGTAGAACCTCCCCCTCCCCACCCCCCACCCCCTAAGAACCTCCAAGCCCTGAAAGTGTTTTTACTGTCTTATGGCGTGGCTAGCTAATTAACCAGATGAGTACCAGCTGGCAACCAGCCAGGTTAGTGACAGTCAAGCAAA